GGCTGGTAGAAAGACAAAGAAAGCGCACGGGGCACGAACTTTGTCACAACAGAGTCGGTGTTGCATTACAGGCAACCGCTGAGACTTTGAGAAACAAAATACTGAGGTCTGCGAACGCTAAATAAGCTAATTTCTACAACAGGATAAATTAAAGTTAATGTGACAACCATAGACCCGCCTTTACCAGTAATGGAACCAGCTCACTTCCTTTCAGGGGTTACTTCCTGCATGTGACCCCTGTCACACTGATTCGGTTTCGCTCAGCCAATTAGACACCAGCTATCACATGCACAGTTAATGCCTATATTTTCGCGCCTAGCTCAGCAAAATCTCTTCGTGAAACAAAATCCCATCCCACCCTCCCTTATCACTGCTTGATTCTCTCTGCTGGTTTTCTTACGGTTTTATATATGAGGTCTCTTCTCTTGCTTAAAATTTAAGAAATTCCTTATACTCTTTACAGTCATAAGAACAATAGATCTTCGTTGTTTACAATGTGAATCAATTGGCAATTGTCAAGAAGATATGGCAAAAAAGAGGTGAAGTTTCTACTGAGAGGAATCATTCTACGCGGCATCACAACATGCTTGTGCACTTAGTTACTTTGGGCCTTATTTTGATTATTAAGTTGATAAAAGTTTAGTTGTCATTTACTTACAACTTGTATTAATATATTTTCGTCTAACCTCTCTCCCTCGAGGTTCATGTTAACTGTCTGGCTCTGCTTTCGGGAGGGTTCAGGTTTCCCTCGAAAATAATTGAGGGTTTTGCCTGACGGGCAGCAGGCACGCAATTATAACTTAAATTACTGATTATATCTGTATCTGAGAGTTGTTGGCAATTAATAAACATGGGTTCGGGATGAAGTGCTCCCATACAGGTCACACATTTCCCCATAGACTCTTGTTACTCCTTAAACCGGGGAATTAGACATCGAGAGGTCTTTCCACCTCTCCAGTACCCAAGGGGGATTATCACCTCCACTCACAACCTTGGAGGATTATCAACTCCTAGAGAGGATTATCACCTCTCACTAACCTGGGGGATTATCACCCCCTACAGAGGATCACGTCTTGTTAAATAACAATATATTACCTCTCTGAGGCACTATACGAACGTACGACTCGCACAATATAATTATTACGATAAACTGCCTAGATAGTTGTAAGAGTTGTTTTGTTTCTTTTTATACACAACCATTGGTCACTGCTTACGGATGGTCAATGTGCGCATGCCCGGATGTCTCACAGACCACCCAGCCTATGGATATTACTACAAGAAAGGACGACGACAACGATGGCTAAATGTGGTAGTCCTGTAGTGAGTTGCAATCCGTTTCCAACCTGGCCATCCATGACCAAAGTCATACACTTATAGTTGAGGTAATCTTTTATTCCAATCGTATTTTAGGCCTTTAGATTAATACCAAAAAATCGTGACATAGCACTTTTAAGTTTCACGGGAAGGCAAAACACTAACTTTTCTTTGTACTCCGGTTGACGTAATGAATAAAACACGAAGAAGACTTCATCAGCCGGTGCTCCAGTTTTCCGTTATTAGCCTTTAAAATTTTGTTTAAGAACGTACCCGGTTAACTTACACATGTTTAGTCGGTGAAAAGGATGTAAGTCGGTGAGCTATAAGCTTACATTATGTACTATAATTCAATTTGAGCGCGAACTTTGTAAGTTGCAAACGTATGATAATTGTAAATGTTTCATATTATTTGATTCTTCTGTTGAGTAAATTCTAAATAACAAACCTGATCACAGGGAGTAGAGGAGTTATTTTCCTGTAACAAACTTGGTGTAAAATATAATCATTGCGTTACATTTATGTTACGCAACATCTATACCGCAGACCTAAAGTACTGAAGACGCCAAGATTGGCTTACAGTGCATGATTCGGCACTTCGGGCCTCGTTCGGAAAACTTCGCTTTCCGAATGCGTCGCCCTTCGTTTCCACCGTGCATAGGATAATTTTTACCAGGTTTGTAACAGGATCGCATGACAGTTTGATCGGTCAAGTTCTGATTCTACAATAAACAAAGGCGCATCGCGCTATTAGTAACCTCCCACGCAGAGCTTCTTAGCTGAAACAAATAACTCCTCTGCTCCCTGTCACCTGATTTATGTTTATAAGTTACGAATTAATTTAAACAGATTGCGAGGGGTCGCCTTTATATCTTCGGAGCCACGCGAAAAATTAAAATTATGTAAATTAGGAGTGGAAAGGACGAGACAGAGGGAAAATGACTTTCTTCGCCTGGCGTTCCGCCCTCGTTGCTCACGGCTTCGCCGCTCACCCCTCCTGCATACATAAATTAAAATATTGAGTAGTTAACAACTGGTAGTCTTTTTTTATATGCTTTTAAGTTTCTTCATAAGATCTTCTACACTGAGCTCCTCGTCAGCTGATATCTGGCCTTCACTGCTGATTTCTTGGGAAATCTGGCAAAAAATTTATGGAAAAGATTAACTACTTCAAATCCTTTAAAACAGTATCCAAAGTTAAACTTCAAGAAAGAATTCACATTTCCTGTTGCAGAATTCTTTTAAAAATAATAAAAACCAAAGCACTTATGAGAGGGCTTTGTTTCAATGGTTTCACCGACAGATTTTAACTTAAATCCACCTTGTACAGCATGATATACAGTATCCCATGAAAGTACTGGCAGGAAGCGTTCATTCAAATGGTCACACCATAAAACAGCATAATATTCATAGACTCAAAAGTTAGAACCATCTTGTATAACATAATAAGCAGTACCACAGCAAAGTACTGCTCAGTAGCTTTCATTTGAATGGTCAAACCATAGGATTCAATCTACACGCTCAAAGGTTAGAACCACCTTGTACACCATAATAACAGTACCTATGAAATTACTGCTCAGCAGCTTTCATTTAAATGGTCCCGCCATAAAAGACCGTTATCCATTAACTTGAGAAGTTAGAACCATCTTGTACAGCATAATAAACAGCACCAAAGGAGAGTATTGCCCAATAGCTTTAATATGAATGGCCACACCACAGGATTCAAGGTTAGAACCAGCTTGTACAGCATAATAAACAGTACCACAGGAAAGTACTGCTCAGTAGCTTTCATTTGAATAGCCACACCATAGGATTTCATTCACAGACTCAAAAGTTAGAGCCACCTTGTACAGCATAATAAACAGTACCATAGGAAAGTGCTGCTCAGTAGCTTTCATCTGAATGGTTACACCATAGGATTTAATCTACACGCTCCTTGTGCAGTATAATAAACAATACCACAGGAAAGCACTTCTCAAGGGCTTTCATTCACCAGCGGTTTCATCCAAAACTTTACAGTTAGAACCATCAGATTCATATTATTATTTTAGTCTAGTACAGCATGACGAACAGAACCGCAGTAAAGTACTGCTCCATCGCTATTACTTGCATGGTCATAGATTCAAGTTGAAATCCCTCAATGTTTCATTTTGTCTTGAGAGGGTTTACACAGTGCTAACATATAACACGTATTAGTAAAATCTTACTAGTGGTCTATTATCAATGCTACATTCGGGTTGGTTGAGCTACTACTAGGCTATATGTTACAGCCCACTAGTAGGGAAAAGCGCCAGCTTTTTGACGGCAAAAAAGGATTTAAGTCTAGCTTTAACAATCCTGGACAAACGTTCTTGGGACAGTAATGCAATATTCATATTTTTCTGTTATTTCTCGGTTCCCTCTTAAAACAGTGCATCCTTAATTTCGAAATTTTCTTGCAGTTCTCCCTCCCCCCCTCCCCCCACCCTATACAAAGTTGAAACTGGGAACAAATTCTGGATACACTCGTCCAACATTGTTTGTCGGGTGAACCTGTGTGAATTGAAAAACGCCCTAGAAACTCAGAAGTGTCCCAAGACTTTTGTCAATGCCTTAAGTTGTTTTGTCTCGATATTTTTGACCAACTAGTTGGATGCTACTAAAACAATTATTCCTCTCGCCCTCATGGCCTCTGAGTCAATAGCCCATTTGCCCTTCGGCCTCATGGGCTATTGACTCAGAGCCCATTCAGGCTCGAGGAATAATTGTTAACTACCTTTCTTTCTGGTTTTCTTTTGGAATATGCTAATTGCACTCCTGCCACCAGGTCTGGTGAAGCTTCATCTTCTTCATCATCGCCCTTGGCTTCATCAACCAATGTTATACCTAACAGTTACATAATAAAATGTATTTGATCAACAAACAAGTACCTTATTATAGGAAACTAACGCTCCATGAAATTAAAGTGCTGGAAATTAACGCGACTTAAATTAACGTGAATTTAATGGAAAACGACTTTCAAATAAAGAAAATTAACGCCACAGAGAGGGCAAAATGAAGGAAATTAACGCGATGCTAGCAAAGAAACAAAACTTGTGGAAAAAAAAAAGAAACAAAGTATAACGTATAATCTGAAATGGAAACTTTGTTCGTGGTACTTTCCTTAAACGTACGAAGGGTGTCAAGCGAAGAAATCTAGCCACTAGGATTCTTCACAGTATCACTGTTACTAGCGGATTTCCACCCTGCTAATAATATTATACTCCGCTTTCTTAGGTGTCAAGAATGTCAGGAGTGTATCCAAAACAATGGAAACTCGAGTCACAGAAATTAAAGCTCTACTTAAATGAACGGCGCGGATATTGGCGTTTCATGAAATTAATGCGAATTAAATTAACGCGAATTGTTAATTCCTTGAAGCGTTACTGTAAATTCAGAAAACAGTGAACACATGAAAAATTTCAGGGATGTTGATTGTGTGGTGTCCAATCACAATAATGTTCAGGACATGCGAACAAACCTCAAAACTACAAAATTTATTACCGCTGCTGTTTGCTGTTTAGTTTTCTTATGCCTTATTGGCTACTTCCTCGCAAAACAATAACATTCCATAATATTTCTGATGTTCAGGGTTTTGTAAGTTTCACAGTAATTTCCTGTACAGCAATCTTCGTCATAAAGATCAAAGAGAGCACGATTTCCAACTTACCCCATTCATTATCCTCATGTTTTACTTCCTCTTCTGCTGGAGTTTCCACTTTTTCTTCCTTTCCTTTTTTGGCCTCTTCTGAATCCTAAACACCAGGAGAACATGTTGTCACTTCTTTAATCCAAAACTTTGCCCACATGCTTCTGTACTTTCCATTTGAACTTTTGGACGCGGGTGGGGCGGGGCGGGGCGGGGGGGAGTTGTCTATAGCGATACTCACGCTCACACCACCCATTAATTTTAATATGCCAACTAAAAGCGTATTGGTTCTTGAAACAAAAGGTTCTTTTGTTCTTTTTTTTCACTCTCACACGTCGTTGTCTGAGCCGAGACCACATCGATCACAACACATTTTATTATTATTTTTTTCATAAGTTTTTGAAGCTGAAACTACGAAAAGCTTAAAATGAACTTAAAAAAGAGGCGATTCAGTCTACTAGCAATTTAATGTACCTGGTATTCTCGCTGTCTCTGATGACAGATCACCTCTTCGCATGCAGGATTTGGCTTTAGCGTCATGCTTGGAAAGAAATCTTGCATTGCATTGTACCCCAGATAGTAGGAAACAGAACCAAACTTTAGAAGATACCTGCGAGTCAAAAGGAAAATGAGTCATTTCCATAAGGAACAACCTAGCAGAAAAGGGTGTAACAAGCTAAGCGCAACAAGGAATATGTTTGAAGGTCACTTTTAGGGTAGTTTCTCGGTGTTACGTATGAGTTCAATCGCCAATTTGACGTTTTACTAAAGATTGAAGCCTGACACTACAATACCCACAACACGAAAACAAAAGTGAACCAGCAATAGCTTCCCTATCACCTAGCCTCCAACCCCACGTTCGTACGGCTTCATCACGCGTTCCTTCCCAACGAGGAAGATTGTGTGACAAGCCAAAAGAACATCTGCGTGGGAAGCAACGTAGGTTTAGTGGCGGTGGCGGTGGACGGGGAGGGGGGGCGAGGAGGGAGAGCAGGGTGCACTACTTTTCTCCAGGAAAGTAGTATTTATTACGCTGAATTCTGTACAAGGTGGATCTAACCTTTTGATTCTGTGGATGAAATCTTAAGTGTCCATTCAAATGAAAGCTACTGAGCAATACTCGCATGTGGTACTGTTAATTATACTGTACAAGGTGGTTCTTACTTTTGAGTATGAGAATGGTAACATATTAACTGTGACCATTCAAATAAAAGCTACTGAGCAGTACTTTCCCGTTGTACAGGGACATAACTGCATGTTTTTGTGGTGTACAAGGGAGTGAGTGCAAGAAGAGGACAGACATAGCTGAAAAATCCCTAAATGAGTCATTCACAAGGAAGTTATTTTTGAATTCATTTAGAGATAGAAGAAGTTGGTGTTGAGATAAAAGCATAACTTTTCTGTGGCTGTATTCACTCTACCATACGGTATACCTGCCAACTTTTTCTGAGTCAAATGCGTAAGATTTTTACCTTGTCATGACCTGGATTTCCGGAATCGTCCCGGCGACTTCCGAAGATTGGTGCAAACTTTCCGAAGACTTCCGAACGTTGCCGCAAAATGTCCGCAGATGCTCCGAAGACGTTTGAGCACTTCCGAAGCTACTTAAAAGACGACAATTTTAGCCTGCTTTGATTTCGTTAGAACACAAGAAAGGGACACAAAGTCATCATTTAACGCCTTTTTGGATTGATTTTCATTATTTATCATGTGGTAAAGAACAATTTGTCCGGATTTGAGTCAGCCGTGAGAAATTGTCCCTGATGCGTGAGATCGATGTCTTTAGTCCACAGACGTGAGACTCGCGTAGAATGCGTGAGAGTTGGCAGGTATAATATGGTGGTTCTATCTTTCTCTCATTTTGTGAACATGGTTCATACAGAATTTTTTGGAAAAAAGTCAAGGACTTTTCAAGGACTTTTAAAGGACTAAACTCATTTTTTCAAGGACTTCTTTTCCCCAATAACATTTAAAACTTTAAAATGCGCAGGTGGAGGGGGGCTTCGCTTATTGCAATACCTACATTCATTAAGGCACGGTTCCAAGGGTACTTCAAATAACGGAAAATAAACCATGCCGGAAACCCGAAATCATAAGAAAACACTTTCATGATCACCAATTGTTTTGTTTTGTTTTGTTTTGTTTTTTTTTTTACCGAAGATTAGTTTTATTCAAGGAGCTTTCAAAAATTATCAAGGACTTCTGTGCAAAATTCAAGGACTTTTCAAGAATATCCAACAATTTTTCAATTTTCAAGGACTTTTCAAGGCCCATGCGAACCATGGTGAAGAAAAGTCGCCTGTAATATTGTTCGCTAAGACAGGTTATCCCGAGCACTTACTTCAGAGTATTTTGTACAAGAAATCCTGCCACAATACCCATTGTTGTAGGAAGAGAAGCAGCACAGACTCCTTCCCTTTTAAGTGTTCTCTCATCAATATTTGAAGCTACAACAAGAGGCGGGGCAACAGGACAGCACGTAGTTGTCAGACAAATGACCTTTCACGAAGCATTTTTGATTATGATTACTCTGATAGGACTTGAACCAATCATTGGGGAGACAACTCGGATGCCATATTCATATATTTGTAATAAAAGGAAGTCGCATTAAAGACTTTTTTTGAGATCTAGAAATAGGCGCGAATATTTTGCGAGTTGCGTAGTACGAGCATTAAGGAAAATGTAAAACCATCGAATAGAAGATTCATTATTCCACTGCAAAAAAGATTTATTTGTTATTTTCGTATTACTCCCTTGGTCAGGTCCTGCAAAAAAAAGACAGTCAGAAAGGAGTAAATTATACATATTTTTAACAGACAAAAATGTAGCAGATAAGGGTTGGCTTTTTGTATATTTCTCTCTGTTAACGATGGATTAGATGCTATATATATTTGCTCTTAAAGGCGTTCTTTTAGTAAGGCAACGCTGGGATGGTACGTTGTAACTGAGCAAAAGGCAGAATTTTGTTTATCGCGGTTTATTGTTTTGTAGTAAAACCGACTTTCGTTCAATGAGATTGTGAGGGTAGGTTCTAGTACGAGGGCGTGTGAGTTAACTGAATAGTTCTAACAAGGATTTTTCTTGTTATCCATAAAGACTCTGTAACAAATATTGCTAGAATAGCAAAAATAATAAATTTAACAAAATTCTAGACTTACAAAGCATTTGAATATATTTATATAGATATTTGCGCCTTATTAGTTGTTTTTTTTTGAAAAAAGGCAAAGAAGACCCTCTCCTTTATAAGTCTTTTATTCTAGTTATAGTTGAGATATTTGTTTCCGTGTTTTTTCCCTTGCTGTTGTTGCTGCTGCAACAACAAAACAACAAATAAAAAACAAACACACAATTTAAATTATTAAGAACCAGACATTTACAGTTTGAATAGTACATACCCACAAATAGTTAAAACTAGTCGAGACGGGTAGGTAAGATTAAGTTAGGCTTATTACAACTAGGGTTTTTAGCGCTATACATATTTACTTAATACAAGGATTTTAAATTAGCGGCAGTTAAGATTACAACAAATAGAAAATTAAAATAATGATAGCAGCAATGAAAAAACAATTGTAAATAATAATGGCAAGAAAGAGAAAGAAAGATTTTTCACTATACCGCTGGTCATAGTTACAGGATTGCCACAGTTTTACAAGTTTTAATTCGTTTCAAGAATTGAAGAAGGTGTAAGGTACAAATTCTCTTGTTTTAAAGTATTAATAAGTGCTTCATGTAGCTGTTTCTTAAATTAGTTTCTACTGGCAGACTTTTTAATATTTTCATAGCCGCCCGCCAAATCGGGAAAATGAATTCTTTAATTGTTCAAGACGTGAAGACAAGACATAAAATTTATTGCTGCTGCTGCAAAGAAAATTCTTGTTTCTTTTTTGATTTTGGCGAACTTTGCGGGCTTCTAGAAGACCTTCTTTACCTTTATTTTTTATAAGTCTGAACTCATTTTTGCTAAATTTGTTATTATTATTATTTTAAGTTTTTTTGTAGTAGTAGCAGTAGTCGTCATTTTATTTCTCTCTATAGGTTATACAAGTTTGTTGAAACAGATAACTCTTTGATTAAGAAATAACTAAAGAGAAAAAGGCCAAAAATAGTAAAACTAATACATTTTGTCCTAATAGATGGAAAGAAATAAAAGATTTCTAATTAAGTGCAAAGGGATACAAAGAGGAAAAATAAATAAATGAATGGATGAAGTAAATTAAATTAAATGCTAATACAGAAAAGCAAAAAAAGATAACGTACAATAATCAAATAAAATATAACCGGTCAAAACACACACACACACGTACATAAAATTGCTTTTCAAGTGGTATAAAATTTTTTTTGTGTCTTTGTATACAGTTAACATTTCAGAAAAAATATGAAATTCTATATGCTAATAGTAAATGCAGTTTTAACATGTAGATAGAAATTTGAAAAAATAGAACACACTGTTTCATAGAATGAGTTTAAAGAACACATATAACTCTCCTGTTCCACCTTCTTGTTTCCACTATACCGCGGGTCGATGAAGATTTCAGTTGTTGTTCCAACAACCGTCGCATAAATTCGTTAAGCTAATCCAAGTATCACCAACAGGAGGAACTACAGCACATCGCCCTCCAGTCGAAAGACTCCCTTATCTGAAAAAATCCTAAATGGACTGTATCATAGCCTGTGTACCAGGCGTTGGTTTGTTTTTTTTTTAGGGCGGAAGCCCTCGAGGACGGGGGAGTTCCCCTCGCTCGGCGCCTGTTACGCACACAGGCTAACTTTTGCAGTACTGTACAGACCGATCTTTACTGTACGCACTGCATAGTACTCCATTCCTGGTGTATTTTCAGTTGAAGCTATCAATCGCACTATCCGTGAAAATTTCAACATCCTGCAAACGTAACCTGCTGCTTGCGTGCTTTGTGTTAAATTGCGTAGCAGGCGTTCAAAAAGGGTCGAGCATTGGGAGGAAAGGAAAAGGGGAGATTTACTCCTTCTCCTCCTCGATCTCTCTCCGTTTTTTTTTGCGCCTGCCAAGCGCGTTTTGCCTGCAACTGCAGGCTCCTTGCGGCTCGCTTCGCTCGCCCAAATAGGGGCGGCTTGCTCGCAGGCTACAGGCTCACTTGTGCGAATTCGGAAAAAAAACGGGCAAGAAATAATTAACCGCCCGGTTAGCTCAGTTGGAAGAGCGCCGGTATGCTGAGCGGGAGGTCGTGAGTTCAAACCCAAGGTCTTTAAAAAACTGGTGAGATCATGCTAGCTTTGATACTTATTTCTCAGTTCAGATGATCGCGTCATTGGGCGGTGGGCATGACGTTAAGCCATTGGCCTTGTCTCCTTCATTCTTGTACTCCAGTTGTAAAAGACGTAAAAGAACCCGTGACATTGTTCGAAAAGAGTAGGGGAAGTAGGCCCCGATGTCATGGTCTATCTGACTTGTGCCGTCATTGGTCTGGGCAGGCGAGGTGTGATCAGAACATGGACTGAAGTGGCTGCAATTAGAGTGCGCCTTTACATGCTGACGTCCGATCTCACCTCTCTGGTTCCTCTGCAACTCAGCAATTGGCTGTAACTGAGGAACGTTGGCACCGCATATCATTTATCACTGAATATGCATGAAACAAATGAGCTTCATGACTTCTAGATGTAAGACTTAGTGCGGCAAAAATAAGATTTACTTAGTCAAAGTTTATAATGGTCCGTAGTGGGTAACGACCTACGCGAGAGAAAGGAAAGAAGAAAAAACCTCTGTTTGTTCAAGCAAACTCTTAGGTCAATCACATAATCAGATTAACACGAGCTAGTGAGTTGTGTTTGCCTCTCTCCTCCGCATAGGCCTCCTTGTGTCGCAGGGAGGCTGGGAGAAAGACAAAAAAAGCGCACGGGGCACGATGGGAAGGGGAGAGTCGTCCCCCGCGCGTTTCTATGTTTTTATTGTTTTTCTATATTTTTATTGGGAAACCCAGCGGGAGCCTCTGCCGAGGATAAAGCGTGCTTACGCAACCTCTGCAACCTCGTTCCCAATGTTTGCCCTGTCAACACGTAACTCAACCCAGGAAATCATCACCTTTGAAGATAAAAGAAAATATCTTAATTATTCAGATCAGAGTCGTCCCAAGCTCAGGTTACGAGTGTCTTATGTAAATTAACTTTGTCACAACAGAGTCGGTGTTACATTAAAAGCAACCGCTGAGACTTTGAGAAACTTTGAGAAACAAAATACCGAGGTCTGCGCACGCTAAATAAGCTAATTTCTACAACCGGATAAATTAAAGTTAATGTGACAACCATAGACCCGCCTTTACCAGTAATGGAACCAGCTCACTTCCTTTCAGGGGTCACTTCCCGCATGTGACCCCTGTCACACTGATTCGGTTTCGCTCAGCCAATTAGATACCAGCTATCACATGAACAGTTGATGCCCATATTTTCGCGCCTAGCTCAGCAATATAGCACTTCATATTCTTCTCTTCTTGGAACAAAATCCCATCCCACCCTCCCTTATCACTGCTTGATTCTCTCTGCTAGTTTTCTTAAGGTTTTATATATGAGGTCTCTTCTCTTGCTTAAAATTTAAGAAATTCCTTATACTCTTTACAGTCATAAGAACAATAGATCTTTGTTGTTTACAATGTGAATCAATTGGCAACTGTCAAGAAGATATGGCAAAAAAGAGGTGAAGTTTCTACTGAGAGGAATCATTCTACGCGGCATCACAACATGCTTGTGCACTTAGTTACTTTGGGCCTTATTTTGATTATTAAGTTGATAAAAGTTTAGTTGTCATTTACTTACAACTTGTATTAATATATTTTCGTCTAACCTCTCTCCCTCGAGGTTCATGTTAACTTTCTGGCTCTGCTTTCGGGAGGGTTCAGGTTTCCCTCGAAAATAATTGAGGGTTTTGCCTGACGGGCAGCAGGCACGCAATTATAACTTAAATTACTGATTATATCTGTATCGGAGAGTTGTTGGCAATTAATAAACATGGGTTCGGGATGAAGTGCTCCCATACAGGTCACACATTTCCCCATAAACTCTTGTTACTCCTTAAACCGGGGAATTAGACATCTAGAGAGGTCTTTCCACCTCTCCAGTACCCAAGGGGGATTATCACCTCCACTCACAACCTTGGGGGATTATCAACTCCTAGAGAGGATTATCACCTCTCACTAACCTGGGGGATTATCACCCCCTACAGAGGATCACGTCTTGTTAAATAACAATATATTACCTCTCTGAGGCACTATACGAACGTACGACTCGCACAATATAATTATTACGATAAACTGCCTAGATGTAGAAGTTGTAAAAGTTGTTTTGTTTGTTTTCATACACAACCATTGGTCACTGCTTACGGATGGTCAATATGCGCATGCCCGGATGTCACACAGACCACCCAGCCTATGCATATTACTACAAGAATGGACAACGGCAACGATGGCTAAATGTGGTAGTCCTGTAGTGGATTGCAATCCGTTTCCAACCTGGCCATC